CTCTATAACCACCGTTTTTGCAGGACAAAATGCTGGTACTAGGCGTGTATGAATGGGACTACATAAGCTACTTTTGCCAGTCTGCCAAACCACTTTCCCTCTGGTCAGTCTTTGGTCGGATTCTGAATATAACGTAAATGTTCAGTTAAGGTGAACGCCTTTTTAATAATCGAGTTTTCATATGGCTGACCTATTGCGAATCACACAAAACCTTTAAGGATGGGTACGTCGTATACTCAAACCGTGTTGTAATGACTAGTGTGCATTCCCGAATTTTACTTCCCTCATATGCATTGTTATAATTTATTTGTTTCCATAAAACCAGTTTGACTTTGTCAACTGACGTTTGCGTTGCTTTGTTTTCTCCTGTGTATGTTTCTTAAATTTTCCATAAAATATATAATTGTCCTACATCCTCTTTTTTTCTTTTATTTTTCATGTTCTCTTTAGCATTACCCCTTTTTCGTGTTTTGAACATTAAGAGTAAATTTACAGCATATTTAAAGTTTTGGGAGCCCTTTTTTACCTTCCCAGAAATTTTCCACTGTTTGCAACCTTCCTAAGACTAAGGAAAATAGAGTAATTAGGGAATATACTAGTCGTTTTATTTAATGGATATCTTGAAATCACGTTATAAAATCGCCAAGATACACTGCAAGGGTTCCTAGTTTGCCTCTTTGGAGTTAAAACTACATTGTTATCAATAATCCTCGGCGGTACGCAGAGAGGTTTAACAATTTAGTTTTCTCCATGTTCGACATTTGTTTTTGTACTTTACTAGTTGACTTTTTTTTTAATAAAAACTTGCAGGTTCGGTTCCATAGAACTCTCCCTAAGTTAAAGTTTCTTCGAAAACTACACCAAAATATAATGCATCTGTTTAGAGTTTGGAAAATGCTTATACACTCGAGTATACTTATAACTCCTGGGCTGACCAGTTAAACTTTCTGTTAAAATTGTCAGTCTTGTTTAGCACTACGTTACTTTTATGCTACTACCTTCTACTCTCAAATTTTATTTTTAGTATTTGTAAACAATTTACTATTCAAGCCAACATAAAAAATTCCTTAACCCCCATTATATCCTTTTAAAAACTTTGCCGTATTTTTATCTCCAAAGTTTACCCTTTGTCATGCATAACAGTTCTGCAAAAAAATTATGAACTGATACTGAACAGATCTCATATTGTCCGAAACCATATAAAATAAACGTTTATTATAAGGGTCCTCCAAATCGTTTGCATGCGGTTACGGGAGAAGCGGGGGGAGGGGAAATGAGAAATGGTGATGCCGCTTCTTCTTAAAACATATTTTTTTCCCGAACAGAGACAAGTATGTAGTCAAGGTGTGCCAAGGTTTGTCTAATTCTTGGTTCTTCCTTCACAGGGTTCTGAGTTGTCAAACGGCGGCGCTCCCATTGCGTACTTCATGGCTTGGGCAATAAATGTGTTATCGACCGTCTTGGTGAAAAGGCGCGACCAGGGACCCGTTGCATAGACGCCAACGTCGTCGCCGGCGTGAGTTGCAATAACTAGAGGCACCACTGCCTGTTGTCTGTACTTCCAATCAAAATAATCGCCCGTTGATGGATCACTTCTGGGTTCACCCTTTGGGGCTTCGGGTCCGGTCATGTATCCTATTGCAGTCATGGGCTTTTTGTCCAGCGTCTATTTAGAAAAAAAGGAGAGTTAATAGTCGTATATATATATATCAGACGGAATCTTTAGGCCCCTGTTGGATGTTTTAAAAAAGCCACAGAAGAACACACCATCATGCAACCGACAAGACGACCACATATATACTTAAGAGATACACTGGTGGTTGATGGTAGATTTAGAATGAACTGAGAAAACTCACCTTCGAACTGTAGCCATTGTCAAGGTCGAGGACGCTGTGATAACGACTTGGGTTTCCAAACAATCCGAATGAGTGTGAATGGTCGGCCGTCACAATAATGAGTGTTTCATTCATGTTGACCATTTCCATGGCAGCTTGAATTGCCTTATCAAACTCAAGCATCTCATCCATTGAGTGTCTAAGAACAAAGATTTAAAAAAAAACCTTGACTAGTGTTTATTTGGATAAAATATAAATGATCATGTTTTATGCAGTATTGCGGAAGCAGTCCGAATTATATAGTCGTTGGTCGTTTGAAGTATTCTCATGGCAGACCTGCAAATCTTCTCAGTTGGTTCGCTATGCATTCGTCATACGCAATGTCCCGAGTACCGTACGCCGAACATTTGAGAACCAAACGTGCAGGGAAAATGCTCTGTCAGAAACAGGGATAAGTAGCCTATTAATTGAATGGAATCAGTCGTCGATCTACATCTGTTCATGGTCATTAATCCATAAAATTGAAGAAAGAATTCGGCCCAGCGTGTTCCTGTTGTTTCCGGGTGACAAGAAAACCATCCTGGCGTCATCATTTCTGGTTTCTGATATTTTATTAAGATCGGCATAGCGCTCTACCTGTGCCTTGAATGCCGTAACCAACTGGAGCAGGCTCGAGGATAAAATGGACAAGACATTATTACAGGATAGCATAAAACAGATGTATACGACACTGAGAAAACTGTTTGTCTCGCGTGTAATTCACATTAGCATATCCGATCTACGATTAACCCTCTCAAACATTACCTTCTCAATGTAAAAGTTCACCGCTTAACAGAATAAATTTCCCCTTTTCAAAAAATTGATTACATACCGACCCTCGTTCCTATGATGCGCATGGTCAATTCTGCCGCCCTCGACAAACAGAAAAAAGCCTTTCTCGCCCTTCTGAAGAATCTTTATGGCAGCTTGGGTGTAACGCATCAGACTGGGCTCGTCCGCACTCTTCTCGTCCGAATACAGCATGTGGTCGGGATAGGGCAGGCCTGAAATAAGATTACAGGAAGCTCATAAAATGACAGTTAAGAAGACTGTTAAGCTACCTTTGCCGGATTAAACAAGTAAATCACTATTGATGATAGTCACTTACATAGCAGGTAGTCAACGTCCTTCAACTCGGCAACGTTAAAGTCTTGCGGTGAAGTGATATTCGCATAATTGCGTTTTTCTTTTCTCTGATGTTGGACCCACTCGTCAACTAGATTTGCCCCGTCCAGACGCGTTCCTTTTTCTCCGCGTTGGTTGGGAATCAGCTGGTCCTTCGGATAGAAGTTCTTTGCTCCGCCACCGATGAGGACGTTTATATCAGCGTTTTCCCGTGCCAGCTGGCAGGACAGGTCTTGGCACTTCATATTTTTCCACTGCTCTCCGCAAAGTTTTTCGATGTCTCTAGAAAGAGCACCGCCAACAGATTTAAACGCCAATAAGCCCCAAAGGTCTTCCAGGCACATTAGACGAACCTTTTTCATTTTGGTCTGGTACATACAATAGATGAATGCCTCTCATTTTACTACTATTTGAGCTTCAAAAATGAACTGATATAGGTTAAAGGTTGGTTTATGCACAGGCTTGCAATATTTACTAGTCGATAGCGCCGAAACAACTATCTTAGTCCCAAGGGTAAAAAAAAGAAATACATAAATAAATAACACGGGAAAACCAAAATTGTGGATTAACAGAGCGCACTCTAATCCATAATTGCCGACAAAATCAGGTAGACGCAGGCAGTTGCATAGGTTTCGTAGTACTAGGCTCTTGTTTCAGCAATGCTATCTTCTTCAATTCAATCGACCAGTCTAAATAAATTGTATGTCAAGCAAGGGAACTGGGTTAAGTATGTATATATAAAAAATACTTATCCACACTGAGGAGTTTCAACAGTCCGTCAGTTGCTCTATATCTTACTTAGGATAAGTGTCAAATAACACTCCATTCAATTACCAAGACGATTAAGTTCTTGGTCAAAAATGCAGGCAAAAAGATTTAGTACCATCAGCTTTATTTATATCTCTCCAAACATGATATACAACCGGCCTGCAATGAATGCACAAACTTCGTTGTAATTCACTTAAAACAACTTAGTCAAATATGTAAAGCCGTAGGTTTTACAAACACTAATAAGGAAGTCAAATTGGGCTTGTATGCATTGAGGAAGTTAAGCTAGGCGAACGACCGTTTTCGATTAACTCATCATCGCTGAATTTAAACAATCCCAGGAAACGTAGGTCAATGTAACAAATGGATGCCTGTGTTTTTAAGCACCTGTCTTGCACAATTGAATGTGCTTCATGATTTTCTTAGGAACTCTCTGAAGAGTACTAGTTCGAAAACGTTCTTTTGCCCTACTTGCAACAGCAGGTCAATTGCTTTGTACTCTTTTAATGTGAAATTTCAATTCACATTGCATTTACTTCCTTAAAGGATTTAGATAATGTTCACAAACACAAGCAGATAAATTCCGTGCCGCTAGTTTTGCTATCTCCTCACCAAAATAATTTAAATCTAGCCTGCACTGTATATACATACTTCGCTGCAATTCAATACTCCTTCATACCTTTGCCCGTAGGGGACATGCTCCAGCCGAGTATTAAACATAAGCTGGTACTCTGTTGCCCCTCACTATTACTAAAACTACTTTCTGCCTCTATTTGAGAATTTAAGTGAAGGTATTTCACTTCAAAAAATACCACGGATAGAGACAAGGTAGACTGAAATGATTAGTTTTCCCTCATTGCGCCTTCTTCCTAGGTTTACAGTTACATATCCTGTGAAGTTAAGTGTATCCTTAGATCTGTGCTTTATGCAGGAGCAAACATTGGGCTTACCAACGAAAACCACATGCATTTTGCTATCGCTCTGCTGTATGTAAACTACGCTAACGAGGATAAGTTTTGGAAATTGCAACTGGCAAGGCTCCGTAGGTGGCCCTCCTGCGAAGACAGGGAACTATAGGTACTTACTTGTCGCCTTCGAGGTTTCGAAAAGTGACATGGCCATAGCAACCAGCCGGTGAAGCGTGAGTGATGCGCGTCGTTGTCAGTACGCCAGTACGCTTGCCCAGCTTAGCGGCCGCGTCAAGTACCGATTCAGTATACTGATCTTTAGGCCAGTTACCGCATTGCTTGTAGCCTACATGGCCGGTGATACCAATCATGCCAGTTCTGGTCTTTGAACCTAGAATTAGAGAACGGCTGGTAAGTCATTATGTCCTGTATACACGTTTGAGATAATCCACAATTTTAAAAAACAGTAATTATGTATTTTATGTGACTTTTCATTTCTACTGTCTTAAGTAGACAACATGACACAGTATGTGAGCTTTTGATGCTTTGCGATGTTTAGTGTAAACACTTGGAAAGGCGAGTGCTGCCCTTAGTTTTGATTGAATAAGTAAGCTAATATCAAATATCGCGTTCACCTAAGGCAAATATGAAGAGTTATTGCAAATATACTCTGATACTTGAATGTACAGGTAACTGTCATGGTGTTCAAGACGGAAGATTTTATTGAATCTTATTTGGAAAGAAAGTTCTTAGAAAAATTAATCATACTAACCTGAACTAATATAAACAAATCAAACGCGAAACAAATCACATATATTACTATGGATATCAAACGAAGTGGGCACCTGTGAGATAGGCGTTGGCTGAACTTGCCGAATCTGTGACAACAGTCTCGAGATCGTAGGTCCTGGCGACTGTGCTGTAGGGCCAACTCTCAAAGGGATGCTTTAGCGCGGAACCATTTTTCCCAGCTCTGTCCGCAAGGTAGAAGCGAGAAGCGGCAACAGTAGGAATGCCCATACCGTCACCGAGGAAGAGGATGACATTCTTGGCCCTTGGTTCTGACTTCAAAATTGGATGGCGTTTGCAGGCATCTTTGATAAATTGCTCAGCTTCTTTCTGCCAGTAGCTTGGATCCCTTTCCTCTGCTACTACTTGCCATGCCGGGGTAGTAGTTTTCTCTTGAGCAGTACAGATGGCTGACAGAGCCAGTAAGTAGATAATGTTGAGCATGTCTTTGTTCTCTTGAGCTCCGTCGAGCTTAAAGTTTGCCTCTGTGCTTTAATAGGGTTAACACCAATGAAGAATAAAATGATTGGCTTACTGAGTATTCCAACAAATAGACGCACGCATAGTCATCACGCAGACTGCCTACTCTCGTGTTTCGATTGTACAGCCCCGCAAAGTGAGAAATTTCGATTTTTTAATTGATCGAAGCATTTTACTTGGCGCTAATCGATGACGCACTGTGAGGCTGTGGTAACTGCTAACTTTTGTCCAAGTGCCGCTTTATGTGAAATAATATAGAACCTATACTGATCCAGTAATACGTGGTATGGAAAAAAACAATCAAAAAGAGTGTATACGAGCTTAGATGCTTTTCAGAAAAACATTTTCCAATAAGAATAATCAAGAAAACCTGCACATTGCGAAGAGGAGTACTTCGTGTTCTTCTGTAGCATTTCGAGTGATCTACAGGGTGCGCTCAAGCTAGTTAAAAAATCCTTAGAGAGCGTCTCTTGGCTACCACAAAAGTGGCCGCCATTAGGCTATGTCAACCGATCAACCCGGTCAAACAGAAATTTGCCACAGTTGAAACGGCCGAAAGCCGCTAACACAAAAGGCCGCAGCTTATCACCTCGCTCGGCTACCATTCCCCCTAAAGCTGATCAGATGTTCACCCCAATTCCCTCCCCCAAGTACCGTAACAACCGCACTTTATTTTTCTACCAACCCGCATAGTTTATTAAGTTAATTACTATAAAAACGTAAAGGCCTCACGATAATTTATCGAAAACAAACCTTATGTTCTCCAATTTGTCTTCTCACATTACACATTTCTCAATATTTTTTTAAACATCAGTCCTATAAAATTGTTCGCCAATTCACCTTCCACATAACCATCAAAAAGCAACTTAAAACGAACGTCCACAATAAACGGCATATATAAATTTGCATATGGTCAATACAAAGGCTTTCAATGACAAATTATGTTTTAAAATAGTATTTAAAGTGGATACTTCGGCGTCAAATGCCTGTATAATTTACTTTTTTAGAGATTAAGTCCAGATACAAATGGCAAAGTTTGACTGTTTTTATTTCCCCAAGCATGCCATAGTTAAGATTCGGTCTCGCAAATATTTTTCAGAAGAGTTCAGATCGGAAAATTATGAACGCTCGTCTGATCCATTACAGCGTACTAGTCGCCTTCTGGACGGCCTTTTTACTGTGCTTTGTTGGTATCAAGGTCGCAGTTGTCTACATGCTAGATCTTTGTGCTTATAAACCTCTTTTAATGTGGTGCTATGATACAATTCTATGTTTCTGCCACACATTTCGACGACCAGACACTGGGGTGCATTACAAATAAGAAGCCGCGTGGCCGACCAGATAATCAGTTTATCGATGTTCTTTTGTAACCTGTTTGCGTCATCAGCTTAGCTAGCTTCAGCCCATATTTTTATGTCATACGCAAGCATGATGGCTGCGCTATTAAGGTCATTGAGACAGTCGGCTACGTAGCTTAGGAACAGTAGCGGGCCAAAAACTATTGCTTGTGGTGCACAATTTTCTATTTTTGTCCATTCCGAGGTTGAGTTTCCAACAACAACCCTCTGTTTTCTGAGGAACAAGAGACCGCTGATCCATTTAAACATTTTCCTTGAATTCCCACACCCGAATTTCCTGTAGAAGAACCCTGTGTGGTACAAAATCGAAAGCCTCCTTGGAGTTGAAAACTAGCACATCAGTAGGACAGCCCTTATATGTGGTCTTTATCCACTTCTCATGCGAGCTAAGAGTATTCGTGAGGCAAGGGCGTCCTGGACGAAAGCCGTGCTGACCATCACTGACCATATTTTGTACGCCATGCAAGTTAGACTTACCAGACGGTACTTTTCGTAATCAAGTCGTGAACCTCCCTTAAAGATTAGGGTGTCAAGTGCCCACTAACATTTTCCCGGGAGTTCGCTTTCTTTAAAAGATCTTTGGAAGATGACAGACAGAGCTGGGAATTACTTGAGTCATGGTTCACGGGCCCCAATCCATAAACAAGTGCAACAATTTGCCCAATCCATTTTCGGTTCTGAGACTCAATTTGTCCAAAACAGGTCGTCAATTGGGGAACGGACAGGCCATCACGTCATCCTACGCAAACACCAGAGGTATAAATGGCCGAGCAATCATCACACCCGAGTCCACCAAGCTTGATGAACTTTCGGCATGTTCATGAGTCTAGTTCTCGTAATGCAGTGCAGGAATTTGATCTGACCCTGGTGGTTTGGCAGGCTTATGGTAGACTAATTCGGCCCTGACTCTATCCTGTGAAAACTCTACCTCTTGCATTTTTGGGGATGAGGAGTGGTGGTAGATGGCTGCGCGTCTAATTTAACTATATCTGATTACGGCCACCATACCTGCTATTTGAGTAGATGGTGAACACCCTCAAAAGTGACGGTAGAAATATCACCTAAATATAGTTTCAAAATGCGCATAAATGTGGATTTAGCTTCGTGGATTTTCACTAGCCGCGATCGAGGTGGAAATTCTGTGTTTTCAACAGGGCTAGTTTCAGCTTTTTAATCTCCAGAGAAATTAATTTCTGATCGCGGTATATATCA